ATTGTCATCCCATTTTATAGTGAAGGAAATGAAGTTTGAGGGTGGTAACTTGTCCAGTCTTGGACAGCAAAGGCCAAAGAAAAGTTCTGTACCTGACTCCTAAGCTCTCATTTAATTTAATCCTGAATCGGTCCATGCTTCTCTATTTAGTATGAAATCCACACTGCCTGACTTACCCAAGGAGACAACCTTGGTAGTCTCACTACTGATGGGACCCAGTTAGCAGATGCACACATGCCTCATGGGACTGAGATGGAATGGCCTGAGCTAGAGAAGAGGCCTCCTTCCCTTGCCTGCTCCTCTATCCCATTGGTTCATGAGGAAATCACAGGCGCATTCCTGACTCAGCCTGGAGCCTCATGTGTATTATTTTATTCCATAGGTCCTTACAATAGCCTCAGGAATTCTTCCCTGGAATTTTACCTCTGGGGAACTCATTGTGAGGGAGGATGAGTGGCAGGTCCAGAAAAGATACGGGAGTGACCACTGAAGGCTGGAATTAGAACCCCAGACCTTCAAACCACAGTTCAGTGTTTCTTTGGTCTGACCCTTCAGTCATCCCCTAGGACTATTTGATGGTGAATCCAGTAGCTATCCATTCTCTACAGTTTCACTTTCTGTGGTTTCAGTTACCCACAGACAACCACAGTCCAAAAATATTAAATGGGAAGTTCCAAAAATAAACAATTCATAAATTTGAAATTGTATGACATTCTGAGTAACATGATGAAATCTCTCAATGTGAACCTTCCCTTGGTCCAGTGTAGCCACACTGAGCATATTGCCCATCTTTTTGTCACTTAGAAGTCATCTTGGTTATCAAGTCAACTCTCACAGTAACGTAGTCATTAAGTAACCCTGTAGTAGTAAAACCGCCATGTCACAATACCTATGTCATTCCACTGTATCATCTCACATCACAAGAAAGAATGAGCATGGTGTGATACCGTATTTGGGAATAGCAGACAGTACATTCTCATAAATATAACTTTTATTATGGCACTTGTTATAATTGTTCTATTTATGATTAATCTTTTTGTGTCTAATTGATAAACTAGGCTTTCCCATAGGATTTTTATTTTGTGTGTGTGTGTGTATGTGTGTGTGTGTGTGTGTGTACGTGTGTGTACGTGTGTGCTTGTTTAGTGTATATAGCTTGTGTTTGTGGGTATAAAAATGTGGACAGGTACATATACTTATGTAAAGATAATCATGTATCCTGATCAATTAGTCTCTACCTTACTTCTGAAGAGACAGAGTCCTTACTGAACCAGGAGCTAGGCTGACATTCAGCAAGCCTCCCAGATGTCCTGTCTCTCCACAGTGATTAGCTTACAGATGTGTGCAGCTACACCCAGTTTTGTTTTGTTTTGTTTTACATAGGTGTTGGGGATTTGAACTCAGGTGGTTGTGCTTGCATCCTTGCTGCTGAGCCATCTCCCAAGCCCAACCCTCAGGTTAAAACTGGAGCATACAGCATATACCTGAAGGCTATGTAACCAGAAACACAGTGCCAGACAGGAGACCCCTCCTTTTGAGTTGCTGGTCAGGGGAGTCCAAGAGACTACCCAAATAACACAGGCTATTGCCATAGCCCTTGATTACCTCCCAGAACTTGAAAGTAAGACCCTATTTCTGAAGACAGGACATACTTCCTCCTAGGATACTAGGTGTCACTAGCAGGCAAGGTTAATAATGACAAATGAAAAATAGGCATATGACAGGCATAGACAGTGAGAGGGGGGAGTTAAGCTTATGTGGTATAAAAAACCAGAGGGAAATGTATTAGTTCAAAATCCTACTGAACAATTACACATGCAGTATCTCTACATGAATCCATGTATATAGCCGGTCTATATAACAACACAGAGCCAGGCAGGAGAAACCCCCCTTTGAGTTGTTGGTCAAGGTAGCCCAAGAGTCTCCCCAAATAACACAGGCTATTGCCATAGCCCTTGATTACCTCCCAGAACTTGAAAGTAAGACCCTATTTCTGAAGACAGGACATACTTCAGACACAGGACGTGGTGTGGAGCTGGAACTGACCTGTAAGCCTCCTCCATGAAGACTTGATCTCATTAATTTCAGAGGATTCTATGCAAGCTAATATGAGAGAAAAATCAATCAATAGTCCAACTCCAGCTTTAAAGACTAATGATCACAGCAGTGACCAGCACAGTAAATGTATCAGTGCAGCAGTGACACTTTTATCTATAAGGTAATCAACAGTGATCTAATTGGACTTAAAGCCCTCTCAATGGGAAGGAACTCATGTATGACACTGTACACGTAACCAAATGCACTTGGCTGGAGAGGTCATAGATCCTAGAAAACACTACCTCTGTCACATCCCTAGACAAATGTAATTTCTTTTTTTTTCCCCTCTCAGATCTGTGCTTCCAAACAAGGGCTCACTTGTTTTATTGAAACAATATACACCGCATGAAATGGGGAAGTAAAAGTCAGACCCTATTGGATAGGCATGTCCTCTGAGACAGTCACTCCTCCCACCCAATCAGTCAGCTTTAATTGTATGGAGGGCGGGGGCTAAGGACAGACGTTGAAGTGCTGAAAAAGCTGGGAAGCATGGGAAAGTCACCATCTTATGGTGTGTGGGTGGCACGGATCTCAAAGCTTCTCCGAGATGTAAAAACAGAGCCCACAGTCAATAATGCCTTTGTAAGTAACCCTTTCCCAGATGGCATAAACTAGATAAAAACCCAAATAGAATGTATTGTGTCAATTTTGTCAGTCTGCATTAGGACCGCCTGGCCCTGGGATTCCAGAGAGCATGACTGGGTCTCCCAAGTTTGGGGCAGGGGGGTTGGCACAACAGACCCTTATAAAGAATTTTTCCCTCACACAGAGATACAAACCCATAAACAAATTGTATCAATTTCTATCATTGCTTTTAATGAGATAAGTGCTGTTTGCAGGGCTTTGATATGTAAAATATACATACACATATTCATATATTGTAGTGGGTCATGGGCAAAGAAGGGTCATAAGAAATTAAGGCCATATGCCCAGGTCACAAGAGGAGCACAACACTCAGAGTGCTTGTTTACCTTATGAGTAAGCTAAGATTAACTTTTTGGTTGCAAAAATTATTAGACAGATGTAATTTCTTAATGTATGCTAAATATGGATCCTTATATTTACAGACAAGTATACTTGTCACCTGTGGTGGTTTGAATGAAAATGTCCCCCATAGGCTCCAAGTGTTTGGACATTTTGTCCCCAGATGATGGCACTGTTTTGGGAGGTTTTAGAAGGTGTGGCTATCCTGGAGGAAACATGTCCCTGGGGGTGGGCTTAGAGAATTCTTAAGCCTTGCCAGATCTCTGGTCAGTCTCTTGCTTCCTGTGCCTGCGTGAATAGGAGACTGCAGAGTGTATGTCCCTGGACAGGACTCCTATATTAAACCTCACCCACCCAGAACTCAGGGACCATTGTGGAAGAGGGAGTGGAAAGATTGTAAGAGCCAGTGTGGGTTTATGATTATAAGGAAACAGTCTTCCAGGCCTCTGGGAACTTTCTCATATAAACTTAGAACAATGGCGACAGCATGCATAAGGCCCAAGCAAACTCTATCAGACAAAAACCCAGCATAGAACTGAAGAAATGGGAAGGAGGCCACACCTGTAGCTGAGGAACTATTAGCGACTGATTACTGCTAGGTGAGGGAGAGCTGATCTTCGTTAAGGGAGTGACTCTAGATAGGCTGACTAGACTGCGCCAGTGGATTAACCTGCACCAAGGGACATCCAACTACGCAAACTTGACTCGGTAGCCTTACCATGTATGACAGAATGCATGAAATCTGGTGGAGGGGGCACTACAAGGAGTGCGGATGGAAGAGGTCTAAACATGAATAAGATATATGAAATGCACAAAAACAATAAAAATATACATTGAAAAAAAAAGCATGAGTATAAGACGTGCATTGGCTCCCCTACCCAAAGCCTCTCTCACTGACACAGCTCCGGTGCCCAGGTTTGCTTTAGCAAACGCATGTTCCTTTTGATTCCGGTTCTTTAACAGTAGGGCAGTACGGAGAGGGTTCAGTAGTATAATTAATACTCTGAATGGTATACATGACAGGAATCTGCTGCCAGTTCAGGCTCAATTTGTGGGCTACTCAGCTGAAGGGATTTTCTTGCTTCTCAGAACAGGTTAATTAAGTAAAGTTGCTGGAGGGGGCTCCCTTGGTATAGGGAAGGGAGAGCAGAGCATTCTTTGAAGGCTCCGGTACTGACTGGCATCTTTATCCAGCACTGGAAGGCTCTTTGGATCTGATAAAGGGAGACTTTCCTTGCTTCTCGCAGCCTTGGCTCTGGCCACTTCCCTCTGTCTCACAGCCAGTGTACTGAGGCCCCCGTGGGCTCTCTGTCCTATAGCAGATGTGAGGGGACACAGGGCTCTTTCCTCTTCCAGCAATAGTGGAAAGAGGAGAGCAAGTGAGGCCCTTCCTATTCCATGCAGAGCTGGTCTTCTGGGGAGGGAGGGACTAGAAAGAAATGCTGGCTCTGTTTTCCAGAATTAATGGTTAGCGTCTGCTGGGGCTATTTGCACTGTAAACGAAATTAAACAACAAAAAGCAGAGATGAAGCAAAACAACTCAAATGATCAAAAAACATTCTGGTGGTGGGTGTAAAACGAGATTTCTGACAGCAGCGCAAGTCCAAGTGGGCAGTAGAAGGATACCTATGAGGTCGCTTGTTCAGAGACATGCACACACAAACACTTAAAGAGAAGGCCACCCACCATTTATTGTGCTAGAAAGTGTCACAGGCCCCCGTAGAGAGCAGTGCCTTTCACACAGGAAGGAGGGGTCTGAATTTCAAACGCAAGTCACTGGAGATCTGTGAAAATTATCCAAAGGAGTGAGTAAAAATTCAGCAATCTTATTCAGTTAAGTAAGGAATAATTCTTAGCCATCCTTCTGTCTCATCAAGCATTTCTGTGGTAGACTCTTCTATGGAAACTTTTGTCTACAGGTTTCCATCTGCTGTGATAACTGCTATTAATCAAGATGCCTGCTGTCATCCCATCTCCGGCTGTGATTTCTGTCATCTCGTCAGTGCTAAGGAGGGTCACTTCTTAGGAAGAAAGATGCACCTGAGGGACTTGGCAGGAGCATCTTCTGCATCATGTGAGCAGACCCTGAGCTGGTAAACTCCACATTCTAAAGGACACATTAAACAAAATCTAAAAGTATCTCTGTTTTCAAAGATTCATCCAGCAGCAGATTTTCCCAAGATCCTGTAAGAGCTGGGAAGTTAGGTTCCTCCTGTTCACACATATTTATACAGAGTATACCTAAGTCTCAGATCTCATTAGAATTTAAAGCCACTGTCTGCCCTGTGACTTGGGATTTTGTGGTCTTTGTAAGTACACATGTGTTTCCTTTTCAAGAACTCCAGGGTCCTTGTGAAGCTAATTTGTCTGGAGTCATCCCAGCCCCCTCTTCAAAGTTTTACAATAGATTTAGAAAGTAATTTAAGCCTAAACAATGTTTTAAAAATGATTTGAAGGGGCCAGTGAGATGGCACAGTGTGTAAAGGCACTTACTACCACATCTGTTGACCTGAGTTTGACCCCCAGGATCCACATGGTGGAAGGAGAGAATCAACCTCCACAAGTTCCTCTAACCCCCCACACATACATTGTACACACACACACACACACACATACACACACAGTGCTCAGCCCTAAATGGAACATCTATATGACACCCCTCCCCCAAAGGCTCAGGGAACATTGGGGAAGAGGAGGTGGAAAGATTGTAAGAGTCAGACATAGTGAATGGATACAAGGAACCTTTTTTGGACCCAAGCAGTTGCGTGTAAACCCACAACTCTTGTGACAACTACATAAGACCTGTGAAAGCCCAAGCCAGATAAAATTCCAGCACAGAAGGGGAGGTGAGCAAGAAGCCCCAGTCCTAGCTGAAGGGCTATTTGACAATGTTGGCAATGGACAGCTGCTGGGAAAGGGAGACTCAGTTTTCTTTAAGGGTGTGATGCTGGGTAGGTTGACCCTATGCTACAAGGGATGGGCCCCACACCCAAGAGTATTTGAGGGACACAAATTGGATTTGATAGACCTTAAATAAAATAGAGGACTTGTAGAGGGGGTGGGGAGGTGAGGGTGGATCTGAGAGGAGATGGGGAAGGGGGTCTGAATATGATCAAAATCATTGTATAAAATTCTCAAAGAATCAATAAAAATATTATTAACATAATAAAATGAAGTGCACATGAAAAACAGTTGATTAGGTTATGTTCATGTACAGAATTACAGGTTTCATAACCTTTACATGCATGTATAGTATGTATATACATATGCGTATGGGTGTCATGTATTACAGGTTTCGTAACCTTTACATGCATGTATAGTATGGTTTCATAACCTTTACATGCATGTATAGTATGTATGTACCTATGCATATAGGTGTCATGTATTGTGCCCCCCCATTTCCTCTCATGTCTCAAACATTCCCTTATTGTGATATATAGTGGCTTTCTGGTGAATGTTAATAATAAAAATTATATGTAACATGAAAATAATTTTTTAAAGAAAAAATGATTTGAAAATTGTATGTGCCAAGTGGGCTAATTGTTTGCATGTAGATTATTTTAAAGAATGACAGCCCCAATGCTGGGAGGCAGGGACACAGAAGGTATCAATGGACTTCTGGTTCATGATAAGGACAACAGGGAATTTACAAATGAGACTTTGAGCTTAGATACATAATAATCATAGCAGAAATATCAATGAAATAATGAGCCTCATTCGATCTCTCTGGGATCCTCAATTGGTCAAAGTCCCCTCACATCTGACCCATATAATCCTGTGTCCTAATACATTCTATACTAAAGGCAGAGACAGTTGAGCCCAAGAAAGCAAGCCATAAGTGACATGGTAAATGGGCTCAGACTTACAGATGTTTGCTTACTATCTCTCCGTACATATGGAAATAATGATGATAATAATAATAATGACACAACTAAGACTGGTTGAACAGTTGCTTTGTGCCAGATGCTCTGCTAAGTGACTTACATTGCTACTTCTTTCTCTCCTCATAGCTACCCCAGGACTAAGTCACTATTACTGTTGTCCCTCTGTATAGGTAAGCTTTAAGCATCCTGTTCAAAGAGCAAAGCTTGCACCAAGACTATGATTCCCAGAGCCCACACTCTGTTCTTTAGCACTGCCTTCAACTAGAGAAAGGGTTTCTATCAACAAGGAAGAATTGATGTTCAAGAGAGTTGGAGGTCTATAAGAAAAACATTCAAGGGCTAGGAAGACAGCTCTGTCGGCCAAGTTCATTCTGACAAGATGGCTTAAGAGGTAAAGGAGCTTGCTCTCCTTACTCCCTTTCCCGTTTCCTCTCCTAAACATTTTACCATCTCCTCTCACTGAGGAAAGTGAGGCTGCAGTGTTTACTGAGCTTCCGATTCAGCATGGCCATGGGGGTAGTCAAAAAAAGAAAGAAAGAAAGAAAAAAAGCACACATCAGCAATTGCTGATGGGTTAGAAAAAGGCTGTAGGGTGGCTGAAAACTGTGGGGTCCATGCATTTTCTGGGCGGAGTTCATTATTCACGGAACTTTGGCAGGTGAGGGCTGCTCACCTCCCAGAGGAGTGTCCCTGCCAGTGAAGGGCTTCAGTCTTTCCCTGGCTCTGATTCGTTGTCTCAGGCACCAACTCAAGCAGCATGCGCCTGTGGAGGTGGCTGCTGCTCCTGCTGCGACGGCCCTGGCACAGCAAGGATCCTTCTCTCTGGATCAGCGTCAAGAGGATGTGGTCATCCCAGGCGCCAGGCAAAGACTTCCACCCTACCTAGCAGCACTCCAGGCTGTCTCCAAATCTTTTCTTTCCCCCGTTAACTGTGAAATCCTCAGCACAGGAAATGAAGGTGAAATGCAAGTATTTCTGCATCCCCGCACCCCCACCCCCACCCCTTTTTTGGTGCTAGGAATGAAATCCTGGGCCTTGTTGCAGGCTAAACACACAACTCTCCCTTCCAGATATACCTTCGGCCCTTGTGAAATTTCTTTTATCTGAGGTTTTTCTTTTGTGATTGTAGTTTCAAATTCTAATGTTAATGCAACTAATTCCTGGCAGATGATGGATTTTTTAAAGCACAATTAAAGCAGATTTTCTTTTGGTAAGCTATTTTTAGTAAAATGCATAGGATTAAAAAAAAGAAAAAACCTACCCAATGCTAACAATATGCTCAATCTGGATATGAAGGCATGTTGTTAACTAAAATCCGTGACACATTCCGTTAATATCATTTAAGTATGAACTGGCTTATTAAAGAACAATTTAACCTTGTTTGAATAAATACCAGTAGCTCCTTTATAGCTACTCCAGTGAAAGATTTTAAACAATTAAAAATGTGAGCATGCCTGAAGGAATACTATCTAATTTGCATTAAATACTATATGAGGGGTCGCTATAGAAAAAGAAAAAGCCTGCAGGACAGAGAGTCTGAAACACCAGGACTCCAAAAACACTGAAATGTTCACAGAGTGAGTGTCTCCTTTGAATGAGGAGCAGTATGAGCACTGGGCTCCTGTTCTAGAGCACTTGTCCTGCTACACTAATCCTCCAACGCTCTCATTTTTCTTCAGAGAGATGGAGTCTTGCTGCGTTGTCTGGGCCTGCCCCAAATCCTGGATTCAAGCAATCCTCCTGCCTCAGCTTTCTGAGTAGCTGGAATCACAGGTGTACCACCAGGCTGGCTTCTTGGCACCTTCAATTTCAAAGTCAATTTTAAATCATATAAATAAATGTAGACCCATGCATCCAGAGATAGTGTGATTAGGAATGCATGTGCCTGATTACATGCTTAGCAAAGAGAAACAGCGGGAAAGTCCTTCCTTCGACTATAAAATGGGCATCGTTTTACTGATATATATATACAAGGTCCTGAAGTTTCACTCTCTTTTCCACTGAAGAGAATTATGACTGAGAAAATGTAACCCACTGAGAAGCAAAGCCTCACTGCAGACCCAATGGTTGGCATTCCTGACTTGATTGATTATCCTCACGCCGTCCAGTCTCCCTGCCAGGAGCATCCTCACCCCTACCCAAGGCCATAGAGCCATCTCCTCTGAGCTGTTCACCAGACCCACCATCCATTATACCTTCCTCTCAACAGCTGTTTCTTGCTTTCGCTCCATGAGATGTTTTTTTTAAGCCTTAAAAAAGATGTTTATATAGTTTTCATGATTTCTTTTGGGCTCTAACTAAATAATCGTTCTTTTCCCTTCCTTCCTATTCCTACATTTGACACCACCGATCTAAGCCTCTGGGTGTCCCAGGGTTAACACCTCAGTGAACTGGTAGAGATGAGTCACCAAAGGCGGGCGGCCACAGCCCTCTCAGCTCTTACCGTGGTGCCAGCTCTGTGGTCAGTATCACGCGAGGGCCTTGCTGGAAGATGGGAACCACAAAACCCGTGTCTCTCCCATGCTTCCAGTACCTGGAACCACACGGACATCGGGCTTCCTGCTGGAAAACAGGCTGTTGCCTTCCTGCCCTTCCAGGTCACTCCAAAAAGGGAAGCAGAGAGTTCCTAAAAGGAGAATGCACAGCAAAGATGTTCATGCCCTTGCAGTTTCAAAAGACTGGACACTGTACACAGAGAACCATCAGACCTGCCAGAGAACAGAGCCAAAATGGAACATGCCCCACTTTTGAGGCACAGTTTCCCTTAGGGAAAAGTGAGTCTTGTGGTTATAACTAAACCTTTATCTTTGGTAAAAACGAGTTTAAAAAAAGAAAAATCTCATAGTTTATCTAAAAGGCACATAACTGATTATGGTAACTCATTTTCTGTCTGGTAAATTTTGGAGACACAGGAGTACAGTTACTTCCTGATACACATGCAGTCAGGGAAAGGAAATGAATTGGAAATCAAATAGTGACACAGATCTATCTCTGATACACAGGATGCTGAAGCAGGAGGGTTGCTTGAGCACAGGCGCTCAAGGCCAGCTTGGGCAACACAGTGAGACCCCGTAACCAACATAAATCAATCAATAAACACATAGATTCACAAATAAATGAATGAATTAGAAAAATTGAATTGGGAATTGGAAGCCAACGCCTTCTGAGTTCTCCACTTTGGTCATTGAGCCCGATGGACAATAACATTGAACAGACTGGGAAACACAAGCATGCCTTGCCACCCTGGAAATCCCCCAATCTTAGAAATCTTTCCACAGTTTTGAGTACAATGTAAATCATAAAGTCACATTTTGAGTAGTTTGCCACCAGATGTGCTGGGTGAGATCTTATCTCCACTTTCATCTTGCCTAGTCATCACATTTATAGTCCAAACTTAACATTCTGGCACTTTGGGAAATTGTTTATTTGTCCTTGCTTTTTTTTTTTTCTTTTTTTTGTGGTCTTTTTGAGACAGGGTCTCTCTGTAGCCCCAGCTGGCCTGGAACTCACTATATAGACCAGGCTGGCCTTGAACTCATAGAGATCTGCCTGCCTCTGCCTCCCCAGTGCTGGGATC